CTGAGAGTCAGTGTGGTTTCAGAAAAGACCGCGGAACCATTGACATGGTATTTACTGCCCGGCAGTTACAGGAGAAATGCCAAGAACAAAATGCTGATCTATATATGGCTTTCGTTGATCTAACAAAAGCATTCAACACAGTCAGCCGGGAGGGCCTATGGAAGATCATGGCCAAGTATGGGTGTCCAGACAAGTTCATTGGCATCGTGCGCAAACTCCATGATGGCATGATGGCAAGCGTCAGAGACCAGCAAGAACTCTTTGATCCATTCACAATCACAAACGGGGTGAAGCAAGGCTGCGTTTTAGCGCCAACGCTCTTCAGCATGGTGTTGTGTGCCATGCTGCAAGACTCATTCCAGAACCACAACACTGGGATTAGCTTCATCTACCGTTTTGACGGTGGGCTATTCAATCTGCGGATGATGCAAGCCAAAACTAGAGTGGAGGAAGTCACTGTTCGAGAACTTGTGTTTGCTGATGACTGTGCTCTGGCTGCTGGCTCAAATAAAGATCTACAGGACAGTATGGACCACTTCTCTTCAGCTTGTAACAACTTCGGCCTAACAATCAGCACAAAGAAGACTGAAGTCCTATACCAACCTGCTCCTGGGAAACCCTACGCTGAGCCCATCATCTTTGTGAATGGGCAAAAGCTTTCAGCCATTGACAAGTTTACTTACCTTGGTAGTACTTTGTCTCGCACTGTGCACATAGATGATGAAGTTAACATCAGGACTATCAAGGCCAGTGCAGCCTTTGGACGTCTACGTGACTCGGTATAGGAAAGGACTGGCATCAAGCAGGAGACAAAATGAAGGTCTACCAGGCTGTTATTATACCAACTCTTCTGTATGGGTGCGAAGCCTGGACAGTTTTCCAGCGTCATGCCAAGAAATTTACCCATCTCCACTTGAGCTGTGTGAGGAAACTGCTGAGAATCAAGTGGCAAGACAGAATCCCTGACACGGAAGTCCTCAGCAAGGCCAATATCCCCAGCATCCACACCTTGCTTGCGAAGGAACATCTTAGATGGACTGGCCACGTGACCAGAATGCCCTGCGCGAGACTGCTAAAACAAGTCTTCTTTGACGAGCTCAAGAATGGCAGGCGAGTGCAAGGTGGCCCCAAAAAGCTACAAGGACACCCTTAAAGCTTCCTTTAAGAGCTTTGGATTCGACATGAAAAGCTGGGAACCCCTAGCTCAGGACCGACCTCCCTGGAAAAGAGAAGTACAGGACGGTGCAGTCCTCTGTGAAAGTAGGAGAAGCTCCTGTGCTATCTTGAAGAGGCAGCACCACAAATCCACCGGATTCCCACCACAATCCATCCCAGAAAAATTCCCTCATCAAGAATCTGCACCATAGAGCCCAAAGCATATCCGACCAGGAACACATAGCCAGTGAACTCAAGCACGTACACCAATCTCTTAAGGATAATGGTTACTCCGACTACACAATCCGCAAAGCTATCACTCCAACCATGAAGAAGAACCCTCTTGAGGAGCCTTTCAAAACCATCACTTTACCCTACATTGCGGGGATCACAAAAAAGATCTCCAAAATCTTGAATGAACACAAGATCCAGGTCCGATTCAACACATTACATAAAATCCATGATCTGGCTCCGTCTGTAAAAGATGTGATTCCGGACATACAATACCCTGGCGTCAACAAACTAAGTTGCCTCTGTGGTAGTAGTTAAATTGGAGAAACCAAACGACATGTTTCGGACCGCATTCGTGAACACAAAGCAGACCTAAAACACGGTAGGACCAACACCTCGGCCGTGGCAGATCACTGTTATAATTCAGTAGGCTCACATGACATTGAATTCTCCAAGACAGAGGTTCTCTGCAAGCCATCTGGCTACCATGAGAGATTCGTTCATGAGGCTATCCACATATACAAACAGAGACAATTTCAACCGAGAATATGGATTCTGGCTTAGCAATCATTGAAAGGATTTGATAAACCATTTCGGGTCTCATTTGATTGTTCACGCTTACGGTGGATTTCAGACCGCATCCATTATTTTCGTCTCCCACCTCCTCTTTTCCGAACATAGATGGACTCATCCATTTGAATAACTGTCAAATCGCTCTCCGTGGTGCTAACGTTTAAAAAAAAACGCCACTTTTTTCAAATTTCCTTGCCGTGGTTTTCACACCTGATGATGATTGCTTGTGTTGCAGTCGAAACGTCATGATAATTTTATTGTTTTATATTTTTATTATTTTATTGTTTCCCTTCTACGTGACTTTACCGAAAGAACCAAAAATATGCATACAATCAGTTGATTATTAGTGTTGTACAAATTATATGCACTCAAAAGATGGACTTCAACAACAACAAAAATCCTGACTAATAAACACAGTAACAGACAAGCTCACACTTCATTGGTTATAGTATAATGGTGATGATGTTATAATTCATTGGCAACTGCCCATCCTTCAATATCATTCGTGATTTTTGTTTTTTCAAAATCTGCTTGTCGTGTCAATTTTGCACTGAGAGTATTGGACAGCTGCCGCGCACATTAAAATAACTTAGATTTTCCTGCCAGACCTGTTCGTGACCGGAAAAAGTCATTGCACGAGACACCCAACCCACCGTGTCGAAACCCACATAAACAACAATTCCGAAATATTGCTCAAACCACCTTTCTCAAGGTCAAGTGCAGACATGATTATGTTTAAAAAATAATTATCCTGGTGGAAGTATTTTGTAATACCCTTCATACATGCAGATGCTCTTTGACAATACGTAAACACGTAATGTTTAGAATATTGTAAAAACGTTGTAGGTCTTTGAAATAAATGTCATAACAGCTGTGATTATGAATCCATCTTTAGCTTAAATTGTCAAACCAAGTGTGTGTCGCTCCCACGTTTCAGCAGACCTCAATATTCGCATTTACGTATGTATATGTGTCATATGGCACCAAAAAGTGGCAGGGCGGGTGATTGAAAATTAGACACCTGCAGCAAACAAAATGGTCAATCACAATTAGTGTGCCCCCTGTCATTCGAAACAGCAAACAGCTTTAGTTGCCGTTGAAATCAACTTAAAGTGTCACCATGAAATCGCATACGAAGTTACGTGTTTTGGAGCTAGCATTGTTCATATTCGGTATCTTTAACCTTCACTGGATCTTCTCTGGCAACACGTGTAACGATGTACTGTATTATCGACTCGGGAAGAACATGCCAATTCGTTACTAGTGTAGTGGAGTAGAAAATACACATGGGTAAATTGGCCATATACAGTACATACAAACAGTGTGGGTCATGTAAGGTCGGGCAGGTGATGAAGTCACGGGTGGGGTAAACAAGCCAAAGTAATTAAGGGAGTCAAGGGACGAGGGCTGTGATTGGTCGAGAGGCTGTTAGCGTTAAGTGGCGGCGTCACGGAGTCTGGGCCGTTGGACAGGTGCGAGCTGGCGGGAAATGCCAGCGAGGCACGTGGCAATTAATTAAGGCTGATTGGAAAGGGGATACAAACGCGAGGTGATTTGGACGGCGGGAGAGTTGGCGAGAAGTGGAGACAGCAGCGGGTAGAGACAGAAGCGAAGAGTGGAAGCCCGGCAAGTGTTAGTGGAGAATAGATTGAGAGCTGAACCCAGATGACAATAGATAGCGATAGCGAGAGTTAGCGTTAGGAGTGGAGATTACGGTATAGGTAGGTACAGGGAGAGTTAGCACAGACAGAGTCACTGTGTGTGAAGAGATAGACGAGTCGCTGTGTGGAAGGAGATGGATATAGGATCACTGTGTGTGCGGTGAGACAAGAAGAGACTGTGTGTGGAGACGAGGGGTATGAGCGGACGGTGCTGAGAGGAATTCGAGTGTTCGAGTTGGCGGAGCGCGGAGAGGAGAAATTATTGTGTGTGGAACGATGGAAATAAAAGTGACGGTGAAAGAAAGGCAATCGTCGTCCGAGTGAAATCCAAAGCACTACACTAGTACATGCATGTTATGTTTACGTGACAAACCTTACCAATTGGCTGTGTTGGGTGGTGGTGGGTTTAACGACACAATTATATATACGCGATCTAACCCAACAACCTATATTATGGATTATATTGGTCGCGAAATCTTACGTGTTAAACTGACATCCATTTAATAATGTATTTCGCTTGCGTATCTGCTGCTCCAACTGTGTAAAAGTCACGTGTCGAAAGCGTTCGCTAAATAAATTACGAAACCGGCCTACATTTGTGTCTGTTTCACTGCTGTCCGTGGGTGTAATAATAAGACGAAGAAATTCCACTGTCAAAAAAACTATAGAACAGTAAACCAGACGATTCACGGGGACAATGAAGGCAGCATTCAGATAGAATTCGTTTATGAATTGACGTTACGAGACCACAAAGCAACGTTAAATTCACGTCTGTGAATGACTCGCACGCAAGAACGATATTCGCTCTACACGCTCGAGGTCTGTGCGTGCACGCAAATTGTAATCTCGATGCAACAGCCCTGCTCATAATTGATTAAGTCAAAAGCCACCTACGTACTTTTTTAATTATTGGCGCGAAACTGCAGGATTTCTCTCGTGGAACCCGAGTCCATATCCATGGACCGAGTCGACCCTAAACATGGATGTGGAAATACAACTTTCATAAAGTTCTGCTTTCCGTTAATTTAAACAATTTGAGCATCATATTCTTAGTTGTTGTTTCCCTTCAACGTGACTTTACCGAAAGAACTAAGAATATGAATTACTGCAGTCACGAAAGCTTTAAATCAAAATTTAATTTGAGCATCGTATGGGCATAATATTGTGGTCACAGCCTGCCCCGACGTACCTGTTCCACACAAGAATGCGTGAGCTGAATTACAAAAACACAGAATGAAATATTTGTGCCTGATCAAATATTTGCATTTTGGCAAAAAAAAATTGTCTCGTTTTGTAAAAAATAAAAAAAAATCGCTCCGCCTCTTTGTCTTGCGACGATGTCTGAATTGGTCGTAAGACGTGTTGATCGGGAGTGATCGATGGCAGAAGGAGAAAGCCATTGCGACATGCTTTCAGAGCATGGGCTAGATATAGAGGCGTGTATTATGTGACACTTTAATTCCCATTGCAGGGTGTGTGCACATCTGCTAATATATATGTGTGTGTGCGCGTGCGGTGGTGCAGTGCAAGTCGAAACAGCAGCAGCTTTAGTTGCCGTTGAAATCAACTTAAAGTGTCACCATGAAATCGCCTGTGAAGTTACGTGTTTTGTGGCTAGCATTGTTCATATTCGGTATCTATAACTTTCACTGGATCTTCTCTGGCAACACGTGTAACAATGCATCATCTACTCGGGCAGACCATGCCACTTCGACAAAGCAAAGGATGCATGAACCTTTAGCCGAACAGCTGGATGAAATTGAGAGTATGTTGGGGAAACTAATTGAAGGTATGTTACAATGCTAGTGCGATTTACCTGTCTTTTTTTGCACATATATAAATGTCCGCGTGTCCTGCACATATTCCGTGGTCTGTGCAGGATGTTTCTCGTCAGGCTTGACTTCCTAAAAAAGGAAAATTTAAAAAGAAAAATAAAGTTTTCTTTAACATGTTATTTTTTTCTTATGCTCTTCGTTGCGCAAGGTTGCACTATAGTCTGCGAACAGTTGCCGCTGAGAGTGTGACGCGCTTCTCTCAGTCTTTTTTTTGCACTTTTCTGAGCTCCCGTGCCCCCCCCACCACCCCCCGTGCCGGATTATCTTCTTAGCAAAAGTAGCTGCTACATATGTCGTAGCTATGGGCCCCGCACTTTCAAGGGCCCCGCGCTAAACGCTTTCAAGCTATCAATGCCGGTTCAGTGACTTTGCACTTGCTCAATTACTATAGTACTATACCGCCTTCAACTTCTATGAACGACTGGGTGTTTAAGGTTAGCGACATGTCGTATTATTTGACTATATCAAATGGAAAAATACAATTACTTTATGCAAGTAAAAAATTTCGTGTTTTAATCTTCTTTTTTTTATTTAGGGCCCCTTTATAACATATGCTACACGCCCCGCACTAGCTTCATCCGGCACTAGTGCCCCCCCCACCCCGCCAGTCTACCGTTCCCGTTCTGCTGTAATGCGCACCGATGCCGACTCCATCGAGGGCGATAAATTACACGGGAAATGAAGATTGATTGATGACGTGTTCGAGTTTTCAGAGCGCTGATATGTGGATTCGTTTTGAGTACGGTATTGCGTGTGCCGCGAAATGCTGCTTTTTGATTCAATCTGTGCTGTGTCTATATTTTCCAATATACCGGGTTTTTTTTTTGGGGGGGGGGGTTAGATCGCGTAAAAATATATAAATGTGTCGTTAAACTCGCCACCACCCAACACAGCCAATTAGTAAGGTTTGTCGCGTAAACAGAACGTACCAAATCGTCACTAGTACAGGACGCCGGTGTGTTGGAGAGCCAAGCCACAACATTTACAATCCGAGTACGACGTTTCGCCAGTAATTACAACTAGCTTCATCAGGCGACATCCAGCTATATCTACAGCTGTTTCGCCAGAGCGTGGAAGCTGCTGCGACGTTGTGAACAAACGGATGAATGCACCTTGATTCGTGACGATCGAGCAGTGATCTCATTGATGCCGTGGTGTCAGCTACTTAAAAGCGGTGACATTCAACGGCCTTTCTTGGTTGAGCAGTTAAAAAATCCGCATGCCTTGTCGAATACCTTCACCGAGATTTGCGACAATTATTTAGAGACGCTGCGCTGGGAGTGGTGCACAAGCTCTATTAACGCAAACACACTCATCACCAACACTGCGCTCTCAAATATATCATACATAGGTGACGTTTTGGGCAATGGGCCCTCTTCAGACCACACAGATAGGCCAGATAAACAAGGAGGATAATCAGATTCTAGATTTGAAGCTTTCGTGACTGCAAGGATTCATACTCTTTGTTTTTTTCGGTGACGTCACGTAGGTAAAATAAAATAAATGAAAATAACTAAATTAAATTACGACGTTTCAGAGGCAACTCAAGCTTCCGTCTTCAGGTGGAACAGTCACAGCAAAATAGCTGTATCAAGTGAGGCGCTCTGAGACACCCGAGATGATATACAGGTTAAGGGGTGGGGGGAGGAGCCAGGAAGGGACGTGGGTGGGGGGGAGGGGCTAAGTTAAGCCGCCTTTTGTTATGCTGCAGGGGGTTCGGGGGTAGCGATGGTGCGCTGCACGAGAGCGAGTACAACCACTGGTAGAAATGGAAATGGCTGTACAATTATAAGGCAGCTAAAGTTTGACTTGGTTGATGACATCTTTCCAATGGTTGCTCAATTTAAAACCATCCTCTCGGTTGAAGTTGTGTCTATGTTTGTATATCTGGATGGCTTCATGGACAAATCTTTGGTAATAACCGGGAGGTTTGCATAGTACTTAGGTATCGGAGAAAACAATGTCATGAGAACCCGCTGTGTTGAAACAATGATAAAAAAATTTAAGTGATCCTACTAACAGCCTAACGATAAAAACCAACAAGATCATCACTAGTTCGACTTCCCTAATCGAACCAACCAAACGTCCCTCCCTAAAACCCTCGGCTGCAAGACCTCCCAGATTCTATGGTCTTCCCAAGATCCATAAAGAAGGTACCCCACTACGACCCATCGTGTCCACGATCAACTCCCCTACCTACAAGCTAGCCCGTTTTTTTATCGGATACTCTGCGTCCCTTCACTGGCAAGACCATCTCAGCAGTACTTAACTCAACCCAATTGATTTCTATGGTCAAGGACATTGTAGCATCTCCTGACGATATCCTCGTTAGCTTTGATGTGGTCTCTCTGTTCACCAAGGTCCCAGTGCCCGACACCATAACAATAATTGAAGATTTGGTCCAACATGGACTGAACCATGATGTACCTGCGTTGGTTAGGCACTGCCTCACCAACACTTACTTTACCTGGAATGGTACCTTCTACAAACAAAATGAGGATACCCCTATGGGTTCCCCCTTGTCACCAGTGATAGCCAATGTTTTCATGGACAAATTTGAATCAGTCGCCATCCAGACATCAACCCTTCGTCCTTCCCCGTGGAAGAGATATGTGGATGACACTTTCGTCATTTGGCCACATGGCCTCCCAGCTTTGAACCATTTCCTAGACCACAAATTTCAGACACCCATCCATCAAATTCACCATGGAAGTGGAGAAAGATGGCAAGCTGCCATTCTTGGATGTTCTGTTTTAGAGGAGGACTGATGGCTCTTTGGGACATTCTGTTTACAGGAAGTCCACCCACACAGATTCCTACTTGAAGCCTGATTCCCACCACCACCCGGCTCAAAAGAATGATCTCATCAAAACATTATACCATAGGGCTCATTGCATTTCTGACCAACACCACCTGGCCAGTGAATTAAAACATGTACATCGGGCCCTCAAGATGAACGGATACTCTGACCGTACTATCCGCCAAGCTGTTTCTCCCACCATACAGAAACAACCACCTGATACTCCGATCAAAATCATCACACTGCCATACATAGCAGGCGTTACCAAAAAGATTTCCAAAATTCTAAACAAACACAAGATCCAGGTCCGGTTCAACACAGTACACAAAATCCGTGATCTGATCCCATCCGTAAAGGATGTCATTCCTGACTGACAGTACCCCGGTGTTTACAAATTGAGTTGTACCTGTGGTGACTGCTATATCGGGGAGATGACACGACATATTTCTGACCGAATTCGCGAGCACAATTCAGATTTGAAACACGGCAGAACGAATTCTTCAGCCGTGGCTGATCACTGTTACAACACAGCGGGTTCTCATGAGATTGTTTGCTCCGATACCAAAGTACTATGCAAACCTCCCGGTTATTACCAAAAAATTGTCCATGAAGCCATCCAGATATACAAACATAGACACAACTTCAACCGAGAGGATGGTTTTAAATTGAGCAACCATTGGAAAGATGTTATAAACCAAGTCAAACTTTAGCTGCCTTATAATTGTACAGCCATTTCCATTTCTACCAGTGGGTTGTACTCGCTCTCGTGCAGCGCACCATCGCTACCCCCGAACCCCCTGCAGCATAACAAAAGGCGGCTTAACTCAGCCCTCCCCCCCACCCACGTCCTTTCCTGGCTCCCCCCCCCCCTTAACCTGTATATCATCTCGGGTGTCTCAGAGCTCTTCACTTGATACAGCTATTTTGCTTTGACTGTTTCACCTGAAGACGGAAGCTTGAGTTGCCTCCGAAACGTCGTGATTTAATTTAGTCGTTTTCATTTATTTTATTTTACCTACGTGACTTTACCGAAAAAAAACAAAGAGTAGGATATTCAGAGTTGGAGACAGCACTTTACCACAATGGAACCTGATGGATATTTTTTTAAACATATACAGTATATATATAAAAATGTGAATGGCTGATGGTTTATATTGTTTTTGCAATAAAGCACCACGTGTATGATGTTCCCGTATGCATGACAGCGTAATGTGGGTGTGGCATTGGGCACTCTGTGTCGGTTAGGGCACATGCTGCTGAACCTCTACTACAGCCTTGTACCCCTTTGGTTCTCAATCGTAAAAAATATATATAATGCTAATAAATGCATAGGTTTGATGAAACAAAGTTGTTGTACTTAACGTGCCCGTGGTTTCATGTGTGTTTCGATGATTTACCTTCCCAAAAAATCTGCCCATGTCTCGCACCCCCAGAAAGGGATCTCGCACCCCCAGGGGGTGCAGGGTGTACCCCAGGTTAAGAATAAGAACCGCTGCTCGAGACCATTCTCATTGTCGCGATTTAATTCTTCACGACACGATATTGAACTTCGCAATGTGACGATTGCCGCGATATCGGTTACTTTTAACTTTCTACCCTAATTGTAAATCGCCCCCTTTTTTGCGGGGGGGGGGGGGGGGAGTGTCGCTTCCGCGCTTTGACGTGCTCTAAGTGCAACAGGCAACGAGTGCGTGAGAGGTCCAGCCAGTCTTCTAACGACTGCGACTTTGCGATCACAGAGTGATGGCGTCCAACATTCGCCAATGCCGTCAATGACTCCCAGAGTACCATTTCACGGATAAATAGTTTGACGTGTAAATATGTTTGTTTACCGCCGTACTTACGACAGCAAACGTTTGTAATATATGTTTCAGAAATGTTGGGTCAATAACACGATATTACGAGATTTAATAATAATAAAAAAAATTGATACGATTTTCGCGGGGTCCCATAGTATATATCATAAGTATCGCAATATATCACAATGTGGCGATATTTCGCACCTCCGATTAGCACGGTTGGCTACGTACGGCGCCAAAGAAGTTGAACATACATATTAATATCACTAATTACCAACAGTCTATATAGTAGAGTCAAAAAAGTAAACGTGATTCGCTGCTCAAATGAGCATTGCAGCTATTTACAGTCCTTAACCAGTCGTGAATATTCTACATTCCTACGGCAAGTCATGCCATTGAACAACCACTGTTGGCATTCCCTTAAAGTGGTACTCAATTTATCGACCACCGGCAGAATTTTTACTCGCAACCTTTGCGGTTGCGGACTGCTCGCCTCTACCGCTGAGCCACCTGACCGGTAGGTGCAGAGATGGCGACCTGCGGCTCTTTAAGGAACGGCTTTAGTGACGTTATTCACGTGGCATTGCGGCTCGTGAAATATTGAGGGTGGGAATTTTTTTTTTGCATCGAATTCGATTCTCTTTTTTGCGTGTTATTGTCATTTTGGTCGATGATACCTGGGGGCTACTCTAATGAGAAGGAAAACAACGCCGTTATATGGCGAATGAGATATTTCTAGTTTGTGGAATGAAGGCTGCTCAACGCCATTTGTAGCAGCCATTGTCAAGTTGTCACCGTTCTGTCATTCCGCAATACACTCTGCCTGTTGTTATTCTTTTTTTTCAGATAAGAAGGAACCAATTTGCTCCGGCAATCCGTGGGTCTCCCGGCCGGACACGGTGATTTTTTCAGAATGGGGGAAGGAGTTAACTCTCCGCGAGAAGCGTAAAGTCTGTGCCGGCTTCCTCGACTACGGCTACAATATATACTTGAGTGACCACTTGCCTCTAGACAGAGATATCCCAGACTACCGACCACAAGGGTGAGGAAAAATGTCGACGACGTGGTGTACGTAGATCATGATCATTCAACAGAATTATAATGAACGATTCCCGCTGTCTGTAGAGCAGTGCTTCTCAACTTTGTTTTACTACTGAACTATCCCCTTGTTGAATTTTGTTTCAACCGAGTACCCCCCTTGCCTGACCCAAATTAGTTCTAAAAAATGAATATATGAATAACGAACATCAACATTTTAACAAATTGCCCATTTTGTGAGGTATTCTAACTCGCCAGTAACTGCAAGCGAAAACAAAAAAATATTCAACGGACGCTCTGCATTGTGTAATTTGGTGTCGCTCGCTGGTTACTCTTGAAACCAACACTGTTGACATCTATGAATCAGAATCAGAATCAGAAAGGGTTTTATTCGCCATGAAAGTTCACACCGACACGGAATTTACTTTGGCAGGATGGTGCATACATTCAACATATAGGAATCTAAAATCTTAAATAGTTTTAAACAAGTCTTACTATAATAAGGGTTAAAAGTCTAACTAACACCAAGGGGCTGAAGCATATAAAATTGAATATCGAATATAAAATAGCTTTAAGATATAATTTAAAAATAAAAATACAAATAGGTTAACATAGTTAATATCGGCAAGGTGTCATTATGTAGATAAAATGTTAATATCAGTGTTAGCCCTTGGCCTTGTTTAACAGGCCAGCAGCAGATGGGAAGAAACTGTTTTTATGGCGTGAGGTTTTGGTCCTGATGGACCGAAGCCTTCTGCCGGAGGGGAGTAGCTGAAACAGAAAGTGTCCAGGGTGGGAGGAATCGGCCACAATCTTCCTCGCTCGCCTCATGGTCCTTGTCGTGTGCAGGTCCTCGAGGGTTGGTAGATTGCAGTCAATTACCTTCTCAGCAGTGTGGATGATACGCTGCAGTCTGCTCTTGTCCTTGGCAGTGGCAGCAGCGTACCAGACGGTTATGGAGGAGGTGAGGATGGATTCAATGATCGCTGTATAGAATTGCACCATCATTGTCTTTGGCAGGTTGAATTTCTTCAACTGCCGTAGAAAGTACATCCTCTGTTGAGCTCTCTTGGTGAGGGAGCTGATGTTCAGTTCCCACTTGAGGTCCCGGGAGAGAATAGTGCCCGGGAAGTGGAAGGACTCTACAAATTTGACTGGGGAGTCTAACAGGGTGATGGGGGTGAGTGGGGCTGTATTCTTCCTGAAGTCCACAACCATCTCAACTGTCTTTAGAGCATTTAGCTCTAAGTTGTTCTGGCTACACCAGGTCACCAGGTTGTCAGCTTCCCACCTATAGTCAGACTCATCCCCACCAGAGACCAGCCCAATGAGGGTGGTGTCGTCTGCAAACTTCAAGATTTTGGTGTTTTAGTCTCTCTGAGTACAGTCGTTTAGCCTCTCTCACCGCTTTGCTAAACCTGTTCTTCGACTCCTTGAATCTGTCTCTATCCCCACTCCTAAACGCTTTCTCCTTCTCCAACCTCAACCTTCTGAGCTTTGCTGAGAACCAGGGCTTGTTGTTGTTAAAGTTCATCCTGGTACGTGTTGGGATACAGCAGTCCTCACAGAAGCTGATGTAGGACGTCACAGCCTCTGTGAGTTCATCCAGACTATTGGTAGCAGTCGTGAACATATCCCAGTCAGTACAGTCTAAGCACGCCCGCAAATCTTCCACAGCCTCACTGGTCCACTGTTTAGATGTCCTCACAGCAGGTTTACAGAGTTTTAGTTTCTGCCTGTATGCAGGAATCAGGTGGACCATGGCATGGTCAGAGTGTCCTAGTACTGCTCGGGGGATGGCGTGGTAGGCTCTACTGACTGTAGTGTAGCAGTGATCCAGAGTGTTCCCTTCTCTGGTTGGGCATTTCATGAATTGTATGTATTTGGGGAGTTCGTGGCTGAGATTACCTTTGTTAAAGTCGTCAAGTACGATAACCAACGAATCTGGATTTGCTTGCTCCACACTCAGAATCTGATCGGCGAGCATGCGTTGGGCCTCTTTAACCTGAGGACAAGGCGGCAAATAAATTCCGACCAAAATGAGCGACGCGAACTCGCGAGGCGAGTAAAACGGTTTACAGGTTATAAAGTTAATGAAGTTATTTTATACATTGACTTAAAGCTTTCGTGACTGCAGGAATTCATACTCTTTGGGTCTTTCGGTAAAGTCACGTAGATATTTACGTGAATTTAAGGAAAGACCCAAAGAGTATTATTTTATATCGTTCTCGGTTACCATATGGATTTAAAATATTGTTTTATATTGGCAGATTCATACGCGATTTTTCATCAATAACTCTCATGTATGATTTAATTTCACACAGTTATAAATCACCTCGCATAACCCCCTGGGACATTGCCACGTAGCCCCTGGGATCCGCGCAATCACGGTTGAGAACCACTGGTCTAGGGGTGTTTTATTTTTGTTGCAATTATAATATACCACGTTTCAAAAAATTTGAAACATTTCGTCAGCGGGATATACTCAGAATTAAGTAACATGACACATGGACTAAGACAACCACACCAACACCCAAGGCACTTATAATCTCAGTCATTTAATAACGTCAAAATGTGTGTTACCAAGCGCACAATTCAAGATAGAACATCCCAAACACCAAATCCGAATGCGTGCAAAGTAACGAGACCTGCTAGCCAGGCCAGATCTACTCTTCCTCTTTCTTTACGCAAGCAAGTGACGTCTGAGTGTTCTCCCATTCTCTCGCTCTCACTCTCTGCTGCACGAGGAACCACAATCACCCGACAAGACGATTCTGGTTCAAGGTGATTGTGGCCCCGACTCTGCTGATGCCCGTCACGAGCCTCCCCAGCTCGCAATTTGCCTTTGAGTGCCGCTCCCAGTGTCACACCCAGAGATCCCTGAGTCACGTTCAGTTAAACGTCGAAGCACCCTTCACAGTGACCGCGCCCGGGTGACCTTACATAGTCAGGATGAAATCAACTTCCGAGTGTGAATTGTGCAGAGATTCAGAGCACATTAACTCAACCCTACCATTCACCGCAACCCAATGGATATCTCTGCTCCTACGTTTGCTCTAAAGCAGTGGCTCTCAACCAGGGGTACGCGGACCCCATGGAGGTACATGGCAATGTCCCACGACACACGTGAGGTTATTTATAAATGTGTGAAATTATATCATACATGTGAGTCATTGGGGAATTATCATGTATGAATCTGCCAATATAAAATAACTGCGATGACATTTGTATCCATATGGTCACCTAGAAGAATACAAAAGACCTTTCTAAATTCATTTATCGTAAACAATGTTGGTTTCCAAGAGTAACCAGCGAGCGAGCGAGCACCCACCGCATCACGCACGCAGAGCATCCGTTGAACTTTTTGTATGTGTGTGCCGGTCTCCTTCATAGGTGCTCGCGAACAGAACTTGCACCAGCAGTCTGTTAAGGCTATACGGAGGATCTTTGTCTTTGTGCCGATCTCTGTGTGTGTGGATGCGGTGTGGAAATAAACATCACCATTAGGGAGACAAAAACGGTCGGACATAGTGCTGGCCACCCACCCCCTCGTGTGCCGTGCCGACCTTCCTAGGTGCTCGCAAGCAGCACTCGGCCCAACAGTATGTTCAGGCTATACGGGGGAATCTTAGTTTTTTTGTCTTTGTGTGAGTGTGTGTGTTGGTCTCTATGTGTTTTAGATGCAGCACCAAGCAGTATCCCTCGGATCTCCCGGACCTCAGCCTGGTGCTCATCTTCTACAACGAGGGGCTGTCCATCCTGCTGCGAGCGCTGCACTCGGCCGTGCGGAACACACCCGCCCACCTGCTCAAGGAGGTCATCTTCGTCGACGACAAGAGCGACCTGCGTAAGCCTATGCAAGCAATTGCGACCCAATGTCTTTTTTGATCATATAAATGTAAATAAATAAAAAATTCGTTCATTTTAATAGTCGTAATTTTCATCACTGAAAGGGTTTGTCGACTACTAACTACTATTTTTTATTTTAACCAGGTAAGGCCCACTGAGCCTGTGTAGCTCTCTTTCAGAAGCGACCTGGCCACAAATGATAGCTCGAATTTTTGGCTTATCACGTGGAAATGTATTGCAGCCAAATAGTATAAATGCATGATTCTAAATGTGGAGAGGAAAACCCAGAGGACCCAGATTAAAAAAAAAATCCACGCTACCACGGGGGAGAGAGACGTGCAAACTCCAAATATACAGCAGGCGTCAGGGTCGGGATCAAACCCACGACCCCCTGTATATCAGACGAGGTAGTTAACATCTCACCACCGTGGTGCCCAATAGCACATATTAGTGTAACTAATGATTCGCTGATTTAAAAACTGGTAATCAGAAAAGAGTTCGACAAATGTAATCCTCATTAGGCCCCATGGTGTAACGAACAGTCTCCAACTCTCACTATCCCCTCTGTCTCTCTGTCCGAAAAGTCCCCTATTTTATATATGCTCCTCTTAGACCACAGAGTTATTTTGGTCACTCGTTAACACAGCTGATCAGTGTCCAGAACGCTGCTTTGGGAATTATAATTGCTCGGCACATCCACCCCCCCCCCCCCTTATTTTATCCCATTGATGCTTACAAACCTTTTCATATGATGCTTGGAGTATAGGGTACAATAATATAGGATTGTTATGGATAAGCATATCTCGTACTCCAGTGGTGGTGCCTTATACCCATAACCCCTACTTCAAGTCAGCCTCGCAGCGTTTCGGAAATAGCGAAAGATTAAGCCCTGCGGCTAATATCTGTGGCGAGTTATCTCACCCCCGCCTCCCACCCCCGTAACATTCACCAGCCCCCAATGACCAGCATGGTGAAGTATGGTCAAACAACGCCCATAGACAAGATGGCATGGAGAGGCCTTCACTCAGCTGTGTATTGTTATTAATACTCAGTCATGTATTAAGCAGACGCCTGCATTATGGGATTAAAACACGTTGACTTGACGGGTGTTGATGTCCTCTGATGTGCATTTTGTATAATTATACACTTTGATTATACTCAAAGTGATTTTCTGCTCAAATGAGCATTGAGGTGGTGCTCATGTTTAACGCCCTGAGCTCGGAGAGCAAATTCCACATTCCTATGGCGGGGTGAGTCTACGCTTAGAACAAACGATTATTGGCCTCTAAAGTACTAATTTTTTAATCGATCCTGGAGGGATGATAGGCTGAGCCAACTTTCGACTCGGATTTGAACTCATAACCTTCCGATTGCGAGCCGCTCAGTCGTATACAAGAAAGTAGTAAACAAATAGCAAACATATCTATGCCTTGTGATCATATATTCAAATTTATTTTGGGCGCTACGGTGGCGAGATGTTAACTACCTCGCCTGATATACAGGAGATCGTGGGTTTGATCTCGGCCCTGACGCCTGCTGTATATTTGGAGTTTGCGTGTCTCTCTCTGTCCCCGTGGTCCTTGTGGATTTTTCTCCGGGTCCACCGGTTTTTCTCTCTACATTTCGAATCAACATCGCGCGTTTCAAGTATTTGGCTGCAATACAGTTGAGATTAATAATCGTCTTAATGAAGTAAACTAACATGAAGAGCTATTGATTCTGCTTTAGAGGGTATGTGGCCTACTCTTTCACGCTGATGAGACATCTTGAAAGAGATGGGAGTATCCACACTTTACCCCACCACACGCGACCTACCGATTGACTAATTGTGGTGTACCCACGTGTACTTATGGGTGTACAGAAGGGATGGGTTCTCGTTGTTTCAACACGTTCCAGTGACCTTTATATACAGCTAGACGCTGCTGCTCATGTGATGTGACCATCTATTGGCGTCTCATCCTCAGCCGAACTGCAGGAAACGATGACGAACAAGGTGCAGGAGTTCGCAAGGGAGCGGACCAACGTCACCATACGGATCATCCGGCACAAAGAGCAACTCGGATTGAGTGCTTCCCGTGTGTCCGGCATCAGAGCTGCATCTGGATCCGTTGTGGCAGTTATGGATGGGCACGTGGAATTCCCGGTTGGCTGGTACATGATACACACAAATACACACACACACACATATACTACGCACCCATTTGATTTTTATTTTCATCTCGATACGTTTTGGTTCTTAAAATAGTATTTAATTAATCTCGCAGCGTGACCACATTTTTCAAAACCCACGATGCATCCACACTGCCTGGACCGCTCAAGTAATTTAAGGGCGATCTAATACCTCCGTGTGATCATTTGAAACTATGAGTGTTCACTGGAATTTGATGCATGTCGAAAAAGTTGTTCATGTCGCCTGTCTCAAGTGATTGAAATCGTCAGGCGGTGAAATTCGCACGCAGTTATTCGCTTGTCACATTGTTGCAATGTCACGTCACTTTGACTAGCCCCGAAGCTGAACTTCAAGCTGGAACATTTTTTTATTTGACAAGAGGAAAGTCTACATCATTAGACCTCCTTTGCCAGGACCAAAATGTAATAATAGTTTTTTTCCCCTTTTTTATGGCAACAAAACTGAAACCTTTTTAAAAGGATTCATGTCTGCATTAACCACAATACTTGCAGTCAAAATGCAAACAAAAAACATACTATGATAATATATGCATTGTCCTTGAAACTGAAGAAAGCCGTCCCTTGGTGTGGACCAATCAGTTTCAAGGACAATGCATATATTATCATAGTGTGTTTTTTTTTGCATTTTGACTGCAGGTATTGTGGTTAATGCAGACATGAATCCTTGTAAAAAGGTTTCAGTTGTGTTGCCAAAAAAAGGGGAAAAACCCTATTATTAGGAGGAAAGTCCTCCAGCTAGACACCTGCTGGGGACAGAAGCTATTTTTAACTCGTACAATATCGGCGGTGTGTGGGATGAGCAGTGGTTACTAGGCTCAGGGCCGGATTAAGGCACGGGGCTTTAGGGCCTGCAGCCCAGGGTCCTCTGCCAGCTGGAGGGCCTCCAGAGATGAAGTGAAAAGTTGTTTCACTTGTGAATGCTGAATTGTATTTGTCGTTAGCCTTGTAAAAATACATTTTACTTTTCTTTAACTTTGTTTTCCTTTTGAAAATATTACTGGGGGCCTCACAGTACCTGTAGGCCCAGGGGGCCTACAAAATCTTAATCCAGCCCTGAGTACGCTCGACTGTGAACCGGGCGACTTGCGCTTGATTCCTGGCCATGGCGAGCATCACTGGCGATGAGATCCAAACCGGTTCTGGTCACCCACTTGACCATCCCGCACTGACCAGCGTGGTGAGGTATGGTAACACAATCCCAATTAACCGTGCAGCATTGGGAGGCCTTCAACGGGCATATGTTACATTACCCTGATTGAGGAATTATTTGAAAAACGCAAACGTCATCCAGAATACGAACCTCATCGACGATACGACCACCAAATAAAATAATTTCCTAATGCGACTGCAGCACACAACAACTAACGCTGGAACACATCGTGAACTCACGATCACTGCGAGCCTATGATTCTCTGCGACTCTGTGGGTCTATAGGTCTCTGTGTGAGTATATGATTCTGTGTCACGCTATGGGTCTCGGTGTGAGTCTGTGTGTCTCTGTGTGAGTCTAGGACCCCTCTTTTCATGAGCCTGGGGTGTCCCACGTGAACAGAGACAGCATTGTTTGTCGTGAGCCCCCGTGTCCTCCTCTCCTCCCAAAACGTTGTTCGACCATTGTAATCAAGTTACAAATTACTTCCCTTATCACCGTTTCGTTACAGGGCAGAGCCTATATTGGCAAGGATAAAAGAAAACCGGAGGGTGATCGTGTCTACGATATTCGACCAAATACGATACGATAGTTTTCTGGTCAATCGTTTCGAGTCGCAAGCACAAGCGTACGACGTGCAGCTCTGGGCCGTCTACAACAGCCCTCCTCTGGACTGGATCGCCAACAACGACCCCACAGCCCCCATCCGGTATGAGATGAAGCACCAAGGTGGCACCCCAGTAAACGTGGAACGCTGGGCCAACGTTGGACCAACGTTGGTCCACATGGCAACGGAGGCCCAACGTTGGCGTGGTTACTGGGACGATGCAACAAGATGTGTGCATGTGGAATTCACTCTGGATGGCGGGATGGCACATTGGTCACGATGGTGGCTCGCAGGGAGATTCCTCACTCGGGCGCCTTTCTGTGCGGAGTTTGTGTTCTCTCCCCCGGTTCTGCACGGGTTTCATCCGGGGTCTCCAATTTCCTTCCCAGGTCCTGCAGTTTCCTACTCCAGCTAAACAATGCGGAACAATCCCTCGCCAACCGCGAGGGCTACGTTCCTAAAACCGCCGTAGTTGGCAATACGATATGCAGCTCTGGGCCTTATTGGAAATAGAGAGTTTGGGTAGCCGTGGCCACGGTCACACTCGTCAAAGCCTAAGTTGCTTTTGTTCCTTCACTAAACACATATAAAATACACAATGACATAAAAATCATAAATGTTCAAATAACATAATTAATGACATTTAACACTGAGGTTTGCAGTCGATGGTGATGACGATGACATTGATGATAACGGGGAGAGGTGGTTGTTAGAAAGAGGAGAGGCTCTGCCCGCCCTCCACCTGGTGGAAGCTGGGAGATGAGACGATGCACGGAGGGAGCACAGATGCGGGGTGATTTGAAATTACAAGTGATTTGAAATCACAAGTGATTTGAAATTACAAGTGATTTGAAATCACAAGTGATTTGAAATCACAAGTGCCGGTCGCCGCGCTAAATTGCGGATACACAAAACTCCATATTGCGGTTGACAAATTGGTACCCCGAAGGAAAACCGTGGCGACATAAATACCGAGGATGTGAGAAACACGGTTGGCGAGGGATTGCTGTATGTGCAGTGTAACTGGTGTCGGCCAATGTGAACACCTGATAGGAGGCCCCTGAAAAAAAGTCCTGGGACTCGGTGAGACTTCCCAGGGTAACCGAACATAACAAGAATCCAAAAGCTATACAGCACGACCGTGAAAACCTGCACAGTGGTGTGTGTCCCGTAAAGAAATTAGAAAACTAGAGTATAAAACTGAACTAGTTTTATTTTACCATGTAAGGCCCACTGAGCTATATAGCTCTATTTCAGAAACGAACTGGCCACAAATGATAGCTCAAGGAAGTGGCGTATCCTGTGGAAATGTATAGCAGCCAAATACTCTGAACGCGTGATGTTGATTATAAATGTGGAGGGTAAAACCGCATGACCCGGTGGATAATCCACACGACCCCAGGGAGAACATGCAAACTCCAAATATACAGCAGGCGTCAGGGTCAGGATCAAACCAACAACATCCTGTATGCCAGGTGAGGTAGTTAACATCTAGCCACCGTGAAAGTGCCAATATTTTGATGGAAGAGGCCATTATTGAATTGTGTGTCCCACTTATCGTTCCTGCCTTAGATTTGATTCCCTTATCCTCAACCCAAATACATTTTTTACCAGCAGCAGGGAAATGAAAACCTCACGCTCTATATTGTCAGCAATACAACTTTAGTTTCATCAATTTCAAGAACCCAAAGACAACTTCGTAACACGGAGACTGCGATTGCTATTCTGTCCAGCATCGATGACAATGGGCATGAAGATTATGCGTGCGTTTCACAACGATGAAATTTTCCTATCAGGAGCCCTGCCGTGATGGGCTGCATGGCAGCCAGCAAGAGTTACCTGGAAGAAATTGGCTTTCTGGATGAAGGCATGTTGGTGTATGGAGGAGAGAATGTGGAGCTGGGAATAAGGGTAGGTTTACACGTACATGCATTGCATTTATGTAAACTAAGTGGTCTGGCTATCTTGAGTGCACATTTCATAATGACGATAGTTTGGATGATATAGACACGTCATCAAAGTAGCGCCTCGTCACTTTCTCATGGTCATCAGGTCGTGGGGATCGATGGATGTGGTCTCCGATCTAGCACTGTATAGGCGACGGTTGGTGGATCACAAAAAGATTATGAAATTCCCATCCCATGGGCGTCGAAGAGGGCTCTAAAACCCTGGCTCGCCCGGAGAAAGCTGTATAGCAAGATGACTAATCTTCATCTCTTTCCATCTGTATGGGGGAAGAGTGTTGCCCCCTTGTGCAAGGCCTGGGTTTTCTCCGTCTGCTCCGGTTTCCTCCCACTTGGATAATCACTCAGAATAAATTGGCAGAAAACATCTGCAGGACCCTCTTGAAAAGTAATTGGACTCTTAATAACAATAATAATATCTCCTGGATAAATAAGGATTTATTATATAGACATCTTCAAAGACGTGTTGATAAATAAGGAATTATTATATAGACATCTTCAAAGACGTGTTGATCCATGATTTATCTGTCATCAACGTCTGGCAACAAAAAATGAGTGGTTTAACAAGGCAGGCTCTGCTTATGAGATCCCGAACGTTGAAAACAGCCCAGAGTTTGGTTGTTCAATCATATATTGCTGAAGGAAGTTGATCTGAGAGACAGTCGCTATCATCCCTCAATGTTAGCACAAATGAGCTTGGGGTTGTATTTATATAGGATTACTGAGTGAAACAAGTTACCATTTTTAAATGTTGATGTCGAATATAGGGCGACACAAACTATACGTGCGCACATTTAAACGTGCCCCCATTCTCATGTGCTTCACATTCTGCTGGTAGGTGCTTCTATGGCCGTTTGTGTTTATAAGTCCCACCAAAAAATAAGCGATCGGTTTTGAAGTGTCAAGGGCAATTGCTGCAATGGTCTCCAGTGCCTCTTTTCAAATGTCGCACAGGGATTGATTGCAGCTCGGCATGGCAATTCGCCAGTGGGAAAAAAAACACCCATACCGTGATGGCCCGGATGTGCCAGTTGAAAATGGGTATAAGTGTGTGTGTGTGTGCGTTTAAGGTAGGAGGGTGGTGTTATGATGGTGGTTATCTCGATGCACAACAATTCCAGAAATCCGACTTCCAGTTCTGTATATAGTTTTATCACGATCTCAAGATGACACATTTTACACACGCAATACTTATTAAATCTCTTAATTTTGAAGTGTAACCCTTGACTGCCCATTCGTGGGCGTGCGTCACGCCGTGTCGGCAGACCTGGCAGTGCGGGGGTCGAGTGGAGATCCTGCCCTGCTCTCGCGTGGCTCACATCGCCCGATACTACAAGCCCTACGCGCCGGACCTGTCGATTCACATGCGGCGAAACGCTCTGCGTGTCGCCGAGATTTGGATGGACGAATACAAGTGGATGGTCTACATGGCTTGGGGTGTGCCTATTCAAGTAAGCTTAACTGTGTCCGCATCTGTGCATGCAAAACATAACTGCTAAAGTGCCATCGGCAGCAGCAATCGCCAACTTATCACCGTCCCACGCGGTCTGGTGATGTCGCAATATATTCCACTCCTCTTGGGTGCGTTTCCTCTCTTGACTGCCATTTCGATGTTAGTATCGTCGTGTCCTGCCCAAGGCCACATTTCTGAAATGCCAACACGAGGTCTCACCTGGTTGAACTACATTTTTTAAGTCGCGTTTTTAATCAGTGTATGTTCTCTCATCCGTTGATTCTTCTGTCCTGTAATTACAAGCATGTACGAGTGCATGCACACTTTGCAGCATTTGTTTAATTTCTTTCACCAATGTCCACACCTCTGACCTTTGTGTCTGAGCAGAAACGCACTGATTAAAATTTTCGTCTCGAGGCACATTGACATGTTGCTTTTCACTATCAAGTTGAGCTTTCCGAAAGTACTCCAGCACAATCTCGTCCACCTCTCTTTGTCACGAGTCACATCTCGATCCGCCTTCGGCAGCTTACCTCGACATGCAGATCGATGTTTCCTAGTCGTGCAAAATTGCAAGAAACTCTCCTTTCTCGCACTTATCTCGAGCCCAACTTTGTGGCCTTCTTCTTGAGGCTTTTCGCCATCATTTCCTGTAGTTGATTTTGATCGGTTATTACGATGACTTTATTGTCAGAAAATCATCATCAGATAGCCCGTAGGTGTCCACTGCACATTGTCATTTGTTTCCACTTTCCTCTGTCTTGTACAAATATTCTCAAGTAGTGTCAGCAAATATAAGATGCTTAATACTGTCTCCTTGTATGTTGATGCCTTTATTCCCCCAATATTTGAATAATATTTTCGACTGCTGCAGTGAATATCCTTGGTTGAGAGCGTATCTCCTTTGCTCGACTCCCTTTGTGATTTGTATTTTTATTGTTTTATGCAGTGTGTTTGATATCTGTTTATACATTTTCTAAGAGCTGAAATGAGTGCATCAAGTTACCACTACAAACTTACATTCTGTAGACTACAGAAGCCAGGCGTAACGTGTCTTGATGACAATTTGTCTTTCTATAACTTGATTGGGAGCATGTGATGTGTACCACACCCGTATCAAACTTTAATATGCAGGATTTATCTTCTCACTGTCACCGTATCGTTATCGTGTTAGGCACAGGAGTGGCAGCACAATGAGCATGCTTTGATCACATCTTTTCTGCAGGGCTCGGGCATTGACATAGGCGACATATCCAAACGAGTTGCTCTGCGTACCCTACTCAAGTGCAAGAGCTTCAAATGGTATCTGGAAAACGTATTCCCGTCGTTCGACCTCCGCCATAAAATTGTCCGCTACGGAGTTGTGAGTAATGTTCATTCTTGTGATTTTTATTGCGAGGCGTATGAAACATTGTCACTTAAAAGGCCGATGAAGTTTGCCGTTTAGATGGAGTGCATTATGTTTTTTTTTATATATATGAGAAATAATGAGATTCTAAGCTTTATTGGCTTGTGAAGGATCGTAATATGGCCCAGCGGTTGCATGTTGTTGCAGAGGTTGGCGGTTCAATCCCGGCAGGCGGCCCTGGTTACTTCTGCGGGGGTGTTGATGATAAAGTTCGAGCACATCTGCTTCACAGGGGACATTCAAAATCTCGCGACGTCAATTGAAAATAGTCGGCCATTGTGTGCCAGCGTCACGGTTGAATTTATACAAAATTGCCCACAAAATGACTCCGTGGGGATTGGGCTTTGCTGCGTCGCCCCTTACCGCGAAACCATTGCACACTGTGTCTGTGAAAGGCAGCGCCTTGGCGATCACCTGGTGTTATAAGAATGGAGTGCATGCCAAATGTGCACACGATGACACTGGATAAGATCTTCGTTCTAAACAAAGCGTCAGCCACCAGAAATCCCAAGCTGACTGCAATTTACCAAATTAGCATATAGGATATAGGTGCTGTAGATTGTGAAGTTGCGAATATTAATATGCAGGCACGCTTATATTGAGTGAACTTCAATGCAATTTCTGGCAAATTATATCCGCAATGTTATATCGTGAAAATGTTGATATCGCAGCAACCATACATCGTGCCCAATGCTTCCTTATTTCGGATAGAGCTTACAATCACAGTTCCACAAGACTGTACACAGAAAATGTGTTATGTTAATGTGTACTTGTTATGCTTGACAATGTTTTTATTTCAATTGTGCAGTTGACAAACAGCAAAAGAACAGATGTATGCTTGGACAGAGGAAACCCAGAGAAAAATAAACCGATAGTTTACCCATGTTTTGGATACCAACCCCAGGTAAATCGCATTTCTAATGTATAAGATGCAGTGCCGGATTATCCTAGGAGCAAAAGTAGCTACACATGCTATGGGCCCCGCACTTTCAAGGGCCCTGCGCTAAATGCTTTCAAGCATATCAATTCCGGTTCCGTGATTATCCACTTGCTTTATTACTATAGTACTATATTGCCTTCAACATTTATGAACGGATGGGTGTTTAAGGTTAGCGATTTGTCGTATTATCTGGCTGTATAGCAAATGAAAAAATACAATTACTTTGCTATGCAAGTAAAAAAATTGCGTCTAAATATTCCATGTTTTTTTATTATTTAGGGCCCCTTTATAACAACATATGCTACAGGCCTCGCACTAGCTTAATCCGGCACTGATAAGATGCATCATCACCTCCGACACACCATACCATGTGCTCATCTCTGTATTCATGTTTTCGTGCATAGTACGTGCCGATGCAAAGCGCTTAACATTTTTGATTCGCGTTATTTTTTTTATATTTAACCTGGAAATTCCTTCAGGTGGAATATCTGGCCTGCAAGGGTGTCCAGGGTGCCTCTTTACTCGCCCACAGCAAGCACGTCACAGTTCAAACCTACAACTTACGCAGCTTGCTTTTTTTGTACGGTGCATAACGCACCCAAGTACATTCGCAAACACATCACGCATTATAAATGCCACACACGGCCGCCTCATGTGGAACGTTCTTTGGCTCTGACGGCTGAAGACGCGGTGCGAGTTCGCACCCAAGATGCGAACGAGTTGCGACTGGGGGGGGGGGGGGGCTTCTTTGGCGCGCGTCTGCGAGGTCGTTCCACGCCGCGATGCGGCTCTGTAGCTGAGCGAAAGTTCGCCTGCTGGGGAATTTCCACCCGAGGGGCAGCAGCGACATCGTCGATGTGAGCGTCGGGCAGCAGAGCCTTCGTTGTCGTATTACGACGGTGGTTGAGTTTGAGGCGGGAGTTGCATTGCAACGTCCACATCTGCGGATGGCGGACTGCCCGTCTTCGATAGGTGGGGCAAAGAAAGCCACGTCAGGAGCTAGGCACGCAGCAGCACGTGTAATGGAAACCATTTCTGTCACATTTGCCTTGATTTGCTCAGTATTGCCAAGCCGCGACGAGGATTGTTGATCGGAACGTCCTCGGCCCATCTCACACGATTCACCCGAAACCCGCGTGCTGTTTGTTTTGCAGTTGGTCGTCCAAACCCCCTCCAATTTTATCATGGTTGGGTTTAAGCTCACTAATTCGGAGCAAGGAAGAACGACTGTCGGCATCTCTGAGAATGGAGAGGACTTGTCTCTGTTGGATATCGACGTCTCTGCGGATCAAGGGCGATTCCTGCTGTTTGAGGTAAGCTCTCGTTGAGGCTGTGTACCACATGTGTCAGATGCTGTACAACGCAGGTTAAACACGCCTGTACGTTCATCTTTAACTGGGGATCCAACAGGTTTTGAGAAATGAGTGTCCGCGGCAGGCAGTCAGCGCTTTCCATCGGTGTTGACCAATGGGGATTTGTCCAGCTGAGTTAGAGGACTGCAAGGCAAACGGTCTAGCAGTGTGAATACGAAGTCACCTGGTGCACCACCGGAAGATGCAGCCCAGCCAGGCAAAACTGCTCTTGGATTACAACCGGCTACGGAAACCTACACGTTCATATTTTATACCAATATTTGTTCTGCGGTGGATAAAGAAAACATTTTTTTCTTCCAAAGGCCATGTGCTGTACGATATTCGACATTTATAATTATACTATTAAGTATATCATAAAGCGTTTCTCTGTTGCACGTAAAATGAAACAAACTGGGAAAACCCGCCCATAAAGGGAACCTCCATTCTTTTAGAAGGGAAACGTGTCCCTTATTTACCCCTCAGAATCCGCTGAGTCTCCTCTTAGCAAGTGAGCTTGCTTGGCTCACTTAGGCTTGCCTCTGATTTCAAGTGAGCCAGCTCAGATGCCACGCCTAACTTGAACCGGTACTCATCCGTGGTCCCTTAGCCACGGCTGAGCCGCTCATTGACGCGCCTTGGAAGCAAACTGAGCGGCTCAAAGCCTGAGCTGAGCATGAGTGTCGGAGGCTAAGCCGGAGCAGAGCCGTGACTAAGAAGACGGCTCTGGCAAGATTGGATGTGGACACACGGGCATGGCGGTGTATGATGTGGTCATCCGCCACACCATTCATGACATATTAAAGTGAATATGAATGTCGGGGCCTTGAAAGTGGTACGGAATACAACTCAAATGAGAATGCACTTCAAGCACGAATAAATATGAAGCCTGCCAGAAGACACATGTATTCTAATCATTGTAACCTTTCAAACACTAACTCATAAACTTCATGGATAGCACATGCATAGGATATATTAATATCCAGTAATATTTTGTCCATCAGATGGATCATCGGAAAGGGACAGAGCAGGAGGAGTCATTTCAAAGCTTTCTGCGATTTCTAATCGGATGTATTCCATGTTGTGTTTGTGGTGCGCAGGATGGCCAGATGAAATCTCAAGACAACACAAAGTGCATGGAAATCGTAGATAACATCGCTAGTGAATATGGGGTGGATTTAGTGTTGCAACCCTGCTCTGGCCAGAAGTGGACTCTGGCATATTACCAGAAATCATAGAAAAGTGCAATGTGTATATAAGGCAGCTTACATTTTGTTTAAATAATATATACATCGTTTAATTGTACGTAAGTTGTGTTTGATCAAAAGCAGAAAGTAAAACTCCCTGCAGTGTTAATAAAAGTTAATATGGCTAAGGTGGACTGTATAACACTGTTTAAGACTACTATCATTATCATCTCTATGGAGTAGATCACCAATTAACTTCTGAAATTAAACTGCAGTATACGAGGTTTCTTGAATGACAAACTGCTCTGCATAGGTTGGCAATTTTTGCAAATGGTCTTAATCTCATCCTCGTGATCAACCAATCCCTCAGTTAATGCATGTTCCCTATAATTCCCCACGCCATCCTCTGGATGTCGTCATCACAGAAGTTAAGTTCAATCATGGCATGCTCATGACACCCGTCACTTTTATTGGCAACATCTTATACGTTTCCCTTTTCCCACAGACTTAGTTTATTCAAGAAATTCCAGGCCCCAAATTTATTTTCTCTAATCAGGTACTCACCTCCTCCACATCTCCCTCGACTTATAGAGAGAGGCAGTCCGTCATAGGCAGAGGAGGTGAGGAAGGTTTTGAGCCTGGACTTGAACAGGGGCATGGAGCCGACAGCACAGATGGCTGGAGTAAAATATTTCCAGGACAATGGGGGCAGCAGAGATTGATCCGGGATCGGACTGGGGGCAAGTGGATATACTCGAGTATTGAGGGGATGTGATCTCGTGGACGAATGCGGTGAAAAGTCAGGTAGTGGGATTTTCAATCATCTGGAATTTATAAATTAGGGAATTGAGGAGGCCACGAAAGAGAGAGTAGAGACAGAGTGGTTCCATTGAACAGTGTTTTTCATTGCAAGGCTCGCGGGCCCATGGTGGCCTTTAGCGCGGCCCTGACGTGCAGCCCCTGACAATACACAACACGTGACACTGCCACAGAGGGTCATGATCAGCTACAAGGCACTGCTACCTACTCAACATCTTGACAAAACCATGATCAATTCCTCGTGCCTAAAATCTGCGGAAAAAGATGCACAGCCTCTGCTGCATCCACCCTGTTCCCTAGCAAAGCCAAAACAGACGAAATAATCGATCTCATTTTCTGCTGCAAGGCAGCCCTGATAGTGTTGCACTAAAGTTTTTTGCCAAACACCTAAGATTGATTTGTGGATAAAGAGAAGATTGTGGATGCAGTGCTCATCCCATTCCCTGCAGATCATACTATTCATATATGTGAAGTTGATGTATTCGTGAATTATTGCAGTATTCCATGAAGCCAGAAGTTCTGTCAGAAGTTGATTACCCGATTTAAGCAAACTGGGCTGTACCTCTCTTTGCCAAGGGCGGCTTGGCCAGCAGACAAGAGCGGCAGCAAAGCAGTTACACATACTGTACGTTATTTAAAAAGAAAGTGAATGATAACAATATTTTCTGAAACACAATTATGTACATTCACACTTTGAAACTTTGTGACCTCAATGGGATCCGTTTAAGGCGGGGGGGGTGTGTGGGGGGGGGGAGTTGCGTCTCCGGAGCCGCGTGCGGCTCTTTAAGGACCTGCTGCTTCGTCACGAAGTCGTTTATGTGTTAAGGAACCACCGTCTCCGTATTCACACGCGTTGCGGCTCTTGAAATATTGAGGGGTGTTTTTAATCGAATTTGAAGGAAAAAAAATGCCCCTTGTTATTTTTGGATGCCGACCACTGGTTTAAGGAAGTCCAGATATGGCAGCAGAATGGAGATCCCAAGAGGAGCCAAAAGATGGTTCCAGCACCTTGGAGCAGTAACTGTACAGTAAACGCTTTTGAACCAAATTGTGACAATCTCGGAATTGTCAACAAAACGATGAAGCGTGCGCCACGGATTTTTAGGGCTTACTAATCGTGTCAATATATCTGACAATGTGCAAATTTACGGCCATTTATTCCATGAAGTAATTTAATTCTGGCCTGATATTAATGGGTATACAGTTTAACACAATTACATGAAATATATTATATTTGTGTTGGGTGACTTGATGAAATTTTACTTTAAAATTATTATATTGGTGCGATCAAAATAATTGCTGCTGTGTACTACATTTATCTGAATTGCTGTATTTAAAAGGTTTAATATATTTTTTTCCAATGTTCATATGCATTACATTGCATGAATGACAAGTGACGACTCATTTATTGACAAATCTCAAAATAAATATTTAACACGATCATTATATGTGCAAATGGTCTCACAGAGGAATTCAGTCTTGATGAACAGCCTGACCACCGGTGTCTGAGCACCGGTGGTCAGACTGACTTCGTAACTCAAAAGTTGTTGGCCAGGCTTGGGGATACGTAATCATTGCTGATGTCAACTGTGTACAGAAACGTACTGTATTGTTGTAGTCATTACAATTGAAAAATAATAAGTCAGTGACTTCCTGCTCAAATGAACATTGTGGAAGTACTCTTCTCCCGTTTACAGCTGTGAGCCCCTGGTGGAAATTCCTCAGTCATATTGCAGAGGCAAGCCTTTCCACAGGACAACCACTGCTGAATACCCAGCAAAGTGATACCTATTTTGTGACCCCGGAAGGATAATGGGCTCTCAGCCGCCTTAACCAGGATTTGTACTCGCAACCTTCTGATTGTGAGCCACTTGCTCTGCCATTGAGCCACCTGAACGGGCATTTACAAGCCTGTTCTATTGCAGCAGTAGCGGTTAATGGTAGTGTATAGTGGGTAAGCAGGGAGAGCGGGACTTGCTGGAGGCAACACGTTTATTATACTTAAGGGTACATAACACAAGGGGTAACGGCCCCTTACACCCGATGGAGGTAGCCCCCCCCCCCGGACTAATGTGCCCTCACTCTGATTATAGCTCTACCTGAGACTGGTAAGCTCTGAACCCGACCCTAGACAGGGGTTCGGATTCTACCCTTTGGGCTCTTCGCTTCAGTCTTCAGAGTGGCTCTTTAGATCCCCAGTTCTTCAGGTCTTTAGGTGGACGATGACTGCCGGACCCGTTCAGGGGGTCCGGCTTTTATACTCGTTTCAGGGTCTCTCCGCCCCTAGCCACACCTTCCTTCTCGAACTCTCTAGGGGGCCCTGGAATATCGGCATCCCCCCAGCCCCCGTCTTGAAGTCTGGGGTCCCTGGTGGCCCAACGGCCCAACTCATCCCACCTATCCTGTCTACCACCCTCTGTTGGCATATGTCCGCTACTGCAGGTAAGAATAAATGGCAATAACCATACCGCTCAACAAATGGCACGACGGTATTATTGGAAGTTAGCTAAATGTAATGATGAGCATCCAACCTTCAATTGTCACAGTAGCAAATGGAGCTGGTAGGTCACAGCGTGTTTGATGGAGAATGTAGGCACTTTGCTTGTCAGGCCCCAGCATCAGTGGAGTTGGGGGACATGGTTGGTATCCGCAGGGGACAATTATAATCATTTCAGCTTTAATAACTTCAATGCGCTGCATAGGTTCGAGAGAGCAACTCAGAGGCATGAGGAACCACACACAAGTGGGAAAAGCAGCCAGGCAATGATCCCGGCACAACATTTCCCTTTTCCCCCACCCCAAGATCTGCGGTCCTTTATAATATGAAGGTGTTATCAGCCAATTCATGAATGCTTACATTTGAGAGCACCTGGAGAGAACCCACTCATGCGAGGGGGCAATACCGAATACCATACAGACGGGACAGAGGGAGTTCACGTTCTGCTGTATCGCCCTCTCCTGGGCAAGTAAGGCTATTATGGCTCTTCGATGCCCATAAGAAGAGAGTTTCGCTTCATTTGTATAATCCACCAACCCTCGCTACCTCCAGAGGGCTGGGTTACAGGCCAGTGCAATGATAATTAGGTGGCAGTCACCTCCATTATTGTCCCATTAGCACAGTACTCAAAAGGCAGCAGGACTTTCAGTGATATCAACATTCTTACAGTTATTGCCTGGAATATTGGCCCATTATTTCCAGTACTCTCTACCCTATTGGCCTCATCATAACAGGAGCACTGTTAACCTAAGCGACATCACATCAGAATCTTTATTTAAACTGGAGGAACCCAATGACCCATGAAGTTTATATGTCCAGCAGGGGCGGGTCAAATGTTACAACAACAAAAATACAAAAACACACAGCAGTGCAAATGATAGGAAAGCTAAGCAAGGCACTAAATATTAAAGAGAAAATGGGTGGGGTAGGTGATGTGATGTGGGGTGGGTGATGTGATGTGAGGGGGTGGGTGATGTGATGTGGGGTTTGGTGATGTAATGTGGGGTGGGTGATGTGATGGGGGGTGGGTGATATGAGATGGGGTGGGTGGGTGATGTAAGGTGGGGTGGGTGGGTGATGTGAGGTGGGGTGGGTGATGTGAGGTGGGGTGGGTGGGTGATGTGAGGTGGGGTGGGTGGGTGATGTGAGGTGGGGTAGGTGGGTGGGTGATGTGAGGTGGGGTGGGTGATGTAAGGTGGGGTGGGTGATGTGAGGTGGGGTGGGTGGGTGAAGTGATGTGGGGTGGGTGATGTGATGTGGGGTGGGTGATGTAATGTGGGGTGAAGTGGGTGATGTAATGTGGGGTGGGTGATGTGATGTGGGGTGGGTGATGTGATGTGGGGTGGGTGATGTGATGTGGGGTGGGTGGGTGATGTGATGTGGGGTGGGTGGGTGGGTGATGTGATGTGGGTGGGTGGGTGATGTGATGTGGGGTGGGTGATGTGATGTGGGGTGGGTGATGTGATGTGGGGTGGGTGGGTAATGTGAGGTGGGGTGGGTGGGTAATGTCAGGTGGGGTGGGTGGGTGGGTGATGTGATGTGGGGTGGGTGGGTGAAGTGATGTGGGGTTGGTGGGTGGGTGATGTGATGTGGGGTAGGTGGGTGATGTGATGTGGGGTGGGTGGGTGGGTGGGTGATGTGATGTGGGTGGGTGGGTGATGTGATGTGGGGTGGGTGGGTGGGTGATGTGATGTGGGGTAGGTGGGTGATGTGGGGTGGGTGGGTGGGTGATGTGATGTGGGTGGGTGGGTGATGTGATGTGGGGTGGGTGATGTGATGTGGGGTGGGTGATGTGATGTGGGGTGGGTGGGTAATGTGAGGTGGGGTGGGTGGGTAATGTCAGGTGGGGTGGGTGGGTGATGTGATGTGGGGTTGGTGGGTGGGTGATGTGATGTGCGTGATGTGATGTGGGGTGGGTGGGTGATGTGATGTGGGGTGGGTGGGTGATGTGATGTGATGTGGGGTGGGTGATGTGATGTGGGGTGGGGTGGGTGATGTGATGTGCGTGATGTGATGTGGGGTGGGTGGGTGATGTGATGTGGGGTGGGTGATGTGGGGTGGGTGATGTGATGTGCGTGATGTGATGTTGGGCGGGTGCGCTGCCGCACGGTCTTGTTCCGCATCTTGTCGCCGGCCGACCGACTCCGACTCGTCTCCTCTCCTCCTTCATCTCGCCGCGGGCTCCCCCTTCCCAGCGGCGTTGGCCACTCCAGCACCACCGTAGACTCTGCACGCAGTACGTGCGCGCTCTTCGTGTGCTCCCATCGCTTCTTGCAGCCTGCGTCGGGTGTGGATGTGCAATGTGGCTGTGCAATGTACGAATTGTGTGTGTGTGTGTGCGCGCGTGTGCTGGCCGTTATTAATGGGGATGCTCGCCAACATCGCTTGATGCCCTACTAAGCTGTAGCGCTTCAATGGGGGAGATGTCTTGGGATATACAGTCAGTGTGTGTACACGTGTGCTGTGAACAGTCAGTGTGTGTACACGTGTGCTGTGAACTGTCAGTGTGTGTACACGTGTGCTGTGAACAGTCAGTGTGTGTACACGTGTGCTGTGTACAGTCAGTGTGTGTACACGTGTGCTGTGTACAGTCAGTGTGTGTACACGTGTGTTGTGTACAGTCAGTGTGTACACGTGTGCTGTGTACAGTCAGTGTGTGTACGTGTGCTATGTGGTTTGGTGTTGTCAGTGTGTGTACACGTGTGCTGTGTACAGTCAGTGTGTGTACACGTGTGTTGTGTACAGTCAATGTGTGTACACGTGTGCTGTGTACAGTCAGTTTGTGTACGTGTGCTGTGTACAGTCAGTGTGTGTACAGATTTGCTGTGTACAGTCAGTGTGTATACACGTGTGCTGTGTACAGTCAGTGTGTGTACACGTGTGCTGTGTACAGTGAGTGTGTACAGGTATGCTGTGTACAGTCAGTGTGTGTACACCTGTGCTGTGTACACGTGTGCTGTGTACACTCAGTGTGTGTACAGGTGTGATGTGTACATTCAGTGTGTGTACACGTGTGCTATGTACAGTAAGTGTATGTACAGGTGTGCTATGTACAGTCAGTGTGTGTACATGTACTGTGTATAGTCGGTGTGTGTGCTATGTACAGTCAGCGTGTGTACAGGTGTGCTGTGTACAGTCAGTGTGTGTACGTGTGCTGTGTACAGTCAGTGTGTGTGCTATGTACAGTCAGCGTGTGTACACGTGTTGTGTACAGTCAGTGTGTGTACGTGTGCTATGTACAGTCAGTGTGTGTGCTATGTACAGTCTGTGTGTACGTGTGCTATGTACAGTAAGTGTATGTACAGGTGTGCTATGTACAGTCAAGTGTGTGTACGTGTACTGTGTATAGTCAGTGTGTGTGCTCTGTACAGTGTGTTCACATGTGCTATGTACAGTCAGTGTGTACGTGTGCTATATACAGTCAGTGTGTGTACACGTGTGTTGTGTACAGTCAGTGTGTGTACATGTGCTGTGTACAGTCAGTGTGTGTACACGTGTGCTATGTACAGTAAGTGTGTGTACGTGTACTGTGTACAGTCAATGTGTGTACACGTGTGTTGTGTACAGTCAGTGTGTGTACTGTGTACAGTCAAGGTGTGTACGTGTGTGCGGTGTACAGTCAGTGTGTGTACGTGTGCTGTGTACAGTCAGTGTGTGTAGGTGTGTTGTGTACAATCAGTGTGTGTACACGTGTGTTGTGTACAGTTAGTGTGTTTACGTGTACTGTGTACAGTCAGTGTGTGTACGTGTGTTGTGTACAATCAGTGTGTGTACACGTGTGTTGTGTACAGTCAGTGTGTGTACGTGTACTGTGTACAGGTGTGCTGTGTACAGTCAGTGTGTGTACGTGTACTGTGTACAGTCAGTGTGTGTACACGTGTGTTGTGTACAGTCAGTGTGTGTACAGGTGTACTGTGTACAGAGTGTGTGTACAGGTGTGCTGTGTACAGTCAATGTGTGTACGTGTACTGTGTACAGTCAGTGTGTGTACACGTGTGTTGTGTACAGTCAGTGTGTGTACAGGTGTGCTGTGTACAGTCGGTGTGTGTACGTGTGCTGTGTACAGTCAGTGTGTGTACGTGTGCTGTGTACAGTCGGTGTGTGTACGTGTGCTGTGTACAGTCAGTGTGTGTACGTGTCAACCCATGCCTCCCGATTCTGTTCCGTGACCTACCAGCGAGCCTTCGACACTTCACGTGGCCTCAAAGTGCACCTAGCCTGGCACATTCGCCGTGGTAACATCACGGCCACTGAGTAAAACGACCGCGTCAGACACCGTCCATCGTCGTGTTCACCCGGCCGGACTGCGCGATGAGCTCGCGGATCCTGCGTTCATCTGGCATAAGATGCAAGTCATTTTATTGACAGCCCTGTAAACGTTGGCACAACGTTGGCCTTACGTTTGCATGTTTTTCTGGGACTGAACTAAATTCGAGCTCAGGGAGTAAATGTTCTGAGCCCCTGCACGTCGTCCAAACCTGGGGTCAAATCGTCCTTCGAATCACAGCAACGTTGTTCGATGAAATTACATTGTGATCGCAACT